GGGGGGGGGGGAGCCAGAAGGAAGGCAGAGCCCGCCTCTAAGTGAGGAGCGCCCCGTCTCGCCCCACCGCAGAGATGATGAAGCTGGAGCTGGACCTGCACGGGCTGAGGGAGGAGGCGTCTGCCCACGTGGAGAGGAAGGAGAAGGAGGTTATCATCCTGCAGCACCGGCTGCAGGAGCTGCAGGCGCAGTTCACGGAGGCCCAAAAGCTTGGTTTGAAGAAAGACACGGTAAGGCGAGGAGCCGCCAATAGGGCGCGCGAGGCCAGCCTCCACCAAGTCGAGCCCGCTGGGCAGATCTGCACCTGCTGTGAGGCTTGGGGAGCAGCAATGCGTGTGCAGGGGGTCCCTGGGCTCTTTGGGCCCAGAGACGATTCCGAATGCTTCTTTAGCACTTCTCATAGCACATAATAAATAAATAAAAGCATTATCCGGAGACCTTAATAGAGATGTTGACTCTATAAGAAAGGGGGTTTTTCCCCCCATCCCTGCAAGGTAGAGAATTTGGGACACACTTCTGTTGTTCCCTTATGCTTTTGTTCATGCTTGATAGAAGAAAGAAAGGTTATAAAATAATGTGTAGCCTTATTAAGAATATGAAGTGAATTTCAATTTTTAAAATGACAAATATCTTAGAATATACAAACCGGGCAGTTTGAAAATATCAACAGAGCTATGCCCTAGAAGACCTGCAGCTTCCAGCAAAAATCAAGGCCCTGGAAAAGCCTAGGGATGACACCAAGGACAGAAAGGTTGTACAACTAATGCAAGCTTTTGTAGTCAGTACTGTCAAACTCTGAACTTTCACCAGAGCTAGTAGAAATAATCCAATTGGTTGACTGGCTGGGCATTCACACCTCCTATTTCAAGGTACAGGTTCATTAGTTAAAACAGGGGCGTCTGGAGAGATGACAACAGGAAGCGAGGCATCTGGATGGGCAGCTTTGGGTCACTCATACAGTCGTCCGGCAAGCACTTTTGAGCCCCTCAGATATGCCAAGCACTGTTCTAGGCACGAAGAATATTATAGAATTGTATATCTGAAACCTATAAAATTTTATTAACCAATGTTGCCCCAATAAATTTAATTTTAAAAAAGCATTAAAAAAAGAATATAATAAAACATGCAACATCCCTATTCTCATGAATCTTACATTCTAGTGTGGACAGACAATAAACAAATAACAAAATTAATATGTCACCCCGGCCGGGCATGGGTCAGCGGTTGAGTGTCGACCTAGGATCCAGAAGATCTGGGTTCAGTTCCTGGTCAGGGCACATGCCCTGGTTGCAAGCTTGATCCCCAGTTAGGGGCATGCAGGAGGCAGCTGATCAATGACTCTCTCAACATTGATGTTTCTATTTCTCTCTCTCCCTTCCTCTCTCTGAAATCAATAAAGATATTTTTCTAAAAAATATGTCAGATACTGATCAATTCCTAAAATAGCTTGGTGGCTGTTTTACACAGGGTAGTCAGGGAAGGCCTCTTTGACAAGGTGGCATTTGGGAAGAGACTTAAATGAAGTGAGTGAGCCACCCAGGTTTGCCTGGGTCTTGAGGAAGAATTTTCCAGGCAGAGGGAGTAGCATGTGCAAAAGCCTTCAATTGGGAGTCCACTTGGAGTGTTCCAGGAAACCATCTGAAACAGACAGGGGTGGGGGTGTCAAGAGGTGAGGCCAACCTGGTAGCCAAGGACCGGGTCATGAGCATCCTGGGAGGCCTTTGCTAAGTGAGATGGAGCCAGTGAGGGGTTTTGAGCAGAAGTATACAAGACCTGGCTTGCATCTTTAGAGGCCCCGCCCTGGCTGCTGCAGTGAGAAGAGGCTAAGAGGAGGCAGGGAGCTAAGGTAGGAGGCTATTGCAATATCCAGGCAGGAGAAGATGGTGGCTGTAAGAGGGCTCAAAGGATCTCTAATGGACTTTGCCCTGCCACTGTGCAGGCCTTCATGAGCATGAACGCTTTGCTTTCCTCAGCTCCTCCATGAGAAAGATGAAATGCTGCACGAGCTAGAAAAGGAACTGACACAGGTTCAGACAACCCTCCTGAAAAAAGAGATGGAGCTGGAGAAGCAGCAACTCATGACAACAGAACTCGAAATCGCCCTCCAGGAGGTGAAGCAGGATAAGTGCAAGGTGGAGTGTGGGACCCTGCGAGCTGAGATCCAGAAGCTGAAGGACTTTCTTGAAGGTGCCCAGCAGCAGCTGATACTAACTGGTGAGGCCCCAGCAAGCACTGTCCCCATCACACTTCTGACACATGAGGCCAGTGCAGCTCCTTTCTCTCTCTAAAGGGCCATCCTCCTCTGCCTCCCCACTTTCTCACTTCAGATCTTCCTTGGTCTCACCTCACATCTCAGCAGTTATGACGCCCTCTTGAATTCCTTCATTCACCCCCAACCTCACCCTCTCTCTGGAACCTTCACCACAAAGCAGGAGCTCAGCTTGGGAAAGTGAACTGCCCACTGTTTCCTCAGCACTTCAGATAAACACCCTCTCCTTTCTCTGCCGTGGGGACAGGGCTCTATACGTCACTTCTTTGCACTGCATTGCTCTCCATGTTCTCCAGAACCTTTGTCTCACAATTCATCTCTTCTTCCTTCCCTGGTTTTTGACACTTTTTTTTTTTTTGCCTCCAAAAATTCTCTTCTGCACAGCTTGCACTATGGACTGTGTCCTTGTTTCTCTGCTAATACTGCTTTCTCGGAGGTCACCAATAACTTCTTGCCTTGGACATGGGGTTTGTTATGGGGCCATGAAAATGTTCTGGGATTAGATATTGGTGATGGTTTCTGGCAACCAGAAACCACTGACCTGTATACTTTAGAAGGGTAAATTTTATGTTATGTGATATAGAAATTTGGGGGGGAAGTAAAAGGTCCAAAGCCTGTCTTCTTTCCTCACCCTCCTTTGACTCCCTGTGTGTCTCTGCCATCAGTCCCCATCGCTCAACAAGTGTTTCTTCACTTTGGAGACACAACAGGTGCCACAAATGTCATCACTGTTTTCTCTTTTCCCTCTGGCTCTGACAGAGTCATCCCTAAGACTCTGCCCCCCTCCTCATCTCCCTCTACATTCGCGCTTTAGTGAGCGCCTCTCCTCCCCGGAGCTGCGCTTCCCTGCAGATGGCTCCAAACCCTAGAGCCTGGGTCCTGATTTCACTGTGGTCAGTTGTCTTTAGCAACCAGCTCCACCTGGACAACTCACCTTCTCCTCTCACTCATCACTCCCAAAGCTGAGCCTATTCTCTTCCCTGCTTAAAAAAAATTTCTTTTCCTCCCCTCTTACAAGGTATATAATAATTTCTTTAGCAATACCACCTTTCTTCCAGTATCCCAGGCTGAAAAAGTGGAAAGAAGAGTGATGTTTAAAGTAGAAATGATAGTAGAAACGATCGGATATGGGGATGTGTTTGGCGTAGAGAAACTCCAGTAAGCAACTTATTTGGGTGTTTTTCCCTTCATGCCCAGTGAAGGCAAAGACATAGGCTAACGGATATTGCAGGAAGTCATCCTCCATTTCCATCCATTATAATGTTCCTAAAGCACTCTTTCCTTTATGTTAGATCCTTGCTCAAGAACCCACAAAATCAAGTCTAAACCTTTCTTCCAGGCTTTCAAAGTCCTTCAGTGCCTGCTCTAGTCCATGCACTCACTCAACTCTGTCTCCCAGAACTCCTACCCAGTTCCCTTCCCAATCAAACTAGTCTCTTCTCATCCTCTCCCCACATGCCTTCCCCATGCCCTTCACCAGGCGTTTACTCTAACAACCCCCACACACCTGGAATCCCCTCCTAAGGCGCCCTCGGTAAGTCCACCTCCAACTGTTCCTACATTGACCTGCTTCCTGAATGGACAGTCATTGCACGTTTCACATTACAGTGCTCTCTATATCGAGTGGGGCAGTTACGGCTCCCTCACTAGACCCTGAACTCCATAAGGGTCAGGATGTGTCCCCAACAACAGGATGAGTTACATAAGATATATTGAGCAATTTCTATCCATTTCATTTTAGTAGAGAAGGAGGCCACAGCTGGAGGGTAGTTGAAGACAGATAATTTAACAGAGCTCCTTAGGCGTGATCATGAAATGGGGAGAAATGAGGACAGATTGGGAATTGAGGCAGGTCACACAATGAAGGAACAGACTTTTTAACTGGTCTGATTTGAGAGTCTGCTCTTCAAATGTCCTTCCCTCTCACATGGACATGCCCCTGGCTTGTCTCCCATCTTCAGCTCAGGAAGCATCCCAATATAAAGAAGAGGCCATGATTGCAAAGACTAACCTGGAGGAAACCCAGAGGAAACTGCAAAGCTGCATTCTCTTGGAGAACCAGAAGGCAGATACCATCCAGGAGCTGCAGAGAGAGATTCAGCAGCTAAAGAATTCCTTGATGGCTGAAGAGGAATTTGCATCCCACAGGTACCACAGGGTCACCTCCAGAGAGAGGCTCTGTCCCTAGTGAGCCAGTCAGGACACTACGGGCAGCTGCCCAGGAGTAGATAGCAAGCCCCATGCAGCCAGCTCACAGTCCACCAGCAGAACCAAAGGCCACCCTCCTCTTGTTGCCATTTTGCTTTAGGACACGGATAGAGGAGCTGAAATTGGAACTCTCTGAGGTCCTGAGGAAGCTTGAAATTTCAGAAAAGGAAAAGAGGCAGCTTCAGAAGGCAGTGGCTGAGCAGGATATGACACTGAATGAGCAGCTAGAGCGTATAAAACTCCTTCAGCACCAGGTATGAAGGGCAAGTAGGCAGCCAGCTCAAGCATTTGCTCTGCTTAGCATTAAACATATTGGTCTTTATTTGCGAAGATGCCACCACCAATCCACGGTGAATGAATTGTCCAGGATTTGTGTTAGAATGCTAAGCCTGCCAGTCAGCTCCAGGGCCCATGACCAATAATAAGCATTTTCAAGGACTAAGCTTAAAAATAGTTAAAGGATGCCCGGCCAGTGTGGCTCAGTGGTTCAGCGTTGACCCATGATCCAAGAGGTCATCGGTTTGATTTCCCGTCAGGGCACGCGCCCAGGTTGCAAGGCTCGGGGGCAGGCAGGAGGCAGCAGATCAGTGTTTCACTCTGTCATCAATGTTTCTATCTCTATCCCTCTCCCTTCCTCTCTCTAAAATAAATAAATAAATAAATAAATATAATTTTTTTTAATAGTTAAAGGGTAATGTGGTATTTTTTTCTATCCTTGTCAGCTAAATTAAAATCTTTGATCTCAGAGTTATTCTTTTTGTGCTTTTCTCAGGTTTTTTTTTAACTTTATTCAAAGAAGCTTTATGTGGAAAGATTTGATAAGTGGGAGAGAAGGTTGATACTATGGGAGCTGGATCTACAAATAAAATAAATTGGTATATCTAACTGAAAAATTAAAAAATGTTGCTGAACATCAGAGGAAACTTTTCTAACATACATGCTTGATAATCAAGAGTTTCCTCATATTTATTCCAGCCATTCCCTATGTACAATCGTCTGATTTTGTTTTTCAAAAAATATACAGTCTAAAACTGACTTTCAGTTCAGTTTTTATTTTCTCAGCACAGGGAGCTAACCAGCATCAAAACCACTCTAGAAGAGGAGCTTAAGGAAGTAACAAGGTTACTGGAGGAGAAACGGGAACAACTGAAAAAAGGCAAAGAACAGGAGACGTTGTTGGAGATAGAGATTGAGACACTCCGACAGGAAGAAAAAAGGAAAGAAAAGCTGGTGAGAAGGGGACTCAGGAGACTCAGGGCCATGCCTACAGGGCCGGCCAGGAGCCCAGCCGGCCTGGTGGGCCGGAGGCCACGTGTGCCTGGACCTTAGGAGAGGGGGCGGG